TAGTGTTAAATTTTAAGCCATAAACGGGGAAAAGGCACCATCAAGGATAGGCGGGTTCCCTCGGAAATATACCTACCTCATACGCTGACATAAACATGATAAATAGATGGTGTGGTGAATACATTTGGGCAGTGTTTCGCAAATTAAATTCAATAATCATACACTACTTTCGATTTTTTTAAGTGTTATACATTAAGAGGTATTTTCCACAAACTATTTGAAACATTTTTCATAGGATAAACAAAATATTATAAAATGTGTTTTATTTTTGATTAATATTTAAGAAACTTATTAAAGTCAATTATAACACTTATTTTAAGGATTGGAAACAAAATAATTTGATAATTTACATACTTACTTGTTTTTCATTATCTCCTCCTCAGGAAACCCTTAAACCAACTGAGTATCATTCAATAATGTAAAAAAAATGGTAAGTATATGTTAGATAATTTTGACTTTGACTCAAATTTTAATTTTTCATTTGCAAGTTAATAGATATAAATCCACTTTTTTTTTTAATTTTTCTTTAGTCAGTTGGAATTTTTTGTTATTCATGCACCGACAAGTATTACACACTTAAAACAGAAGGCAGCGGGGGAAAAGGTAAGGGGCTGAGTGGATTACAAGTTCGCAACAAGAGATCTATGTACTTTTTATGTCCTCAGTCTCCGTGGGTGGAGATGCCATGTTTTGCGATGGCCATGGATGGGGGAAAGGGGATTCGGGATAAAATTTGAACATGGGGAGCCGGTCAGGTGGGAAATGGTGAAAAACAACAGTTGAAATTCCCATGGTGCAAACTTTATTCTATTACGACTGCCAAGGAACAAGAACCAGGGGGAAAAAAGAGCTGAGAACCGAAACAAGAGCAGCGAAAGCGAATAATTGAAAGTGAGGACTGGAGATTCCAAGTTGGAGGCTGCGGCTTTCTCTTCTGTCTCCTGTCGTCTTAGAACATCTTTCTCCGCCAACTTTTTCAGCCAGCTGAGACACACAGTCCCCACAACATTTTCCACCAAAATTTCCCGACTGCGCTAATCCAGCGCCACATTTATGGCACTGGGATTTCGTTGGGCTTAGGAGTTGTACGGGAATTAGCTGGGCTGCCTTCGCTTCTGGGCCATTAAAATGATTTAAATTGGCCGGGGAGTGAGTGAATGGCTTGTATGTAAATGAAGTCTTAACTGTGGCTAAGACCCAATGCCACACGGGAGTTGGTTAAACAACAGCTGCCAGTGGGGAGCCCAACTCCCATGGGATCTGGGGGAAAAAGTTAAGTATTTTCAAATTCATCAAGTTTAATCCCAAAAATCAATTAGTTTAGTTTTGGGTAAAGTTTTATTTGTGATAATAGTCTTAGGAAAAATATTTAATCTGATGATTTGTATTCCGAAATTAGGCTTGGAAATAATAATATTATTATTATATTATATCATCAAAATAAATTAGTTTAGTTTGGGTAAAGTTAAATCTGTATATAATAGTTTAATAAAAACTATTTAATCTGAAGACTTGTTTTCTGAAATTATATTTAAATTCTGTTAAGACAACCTTGGAAATAATATTTAAATATTTTATTATTATCATCAAAAATAATTAAGATTATTTTCTTTGAAGTTGAAAAATATTTAATCTGATGACATGCCTTTCGAATTTCATTAAACTTTTGTTAGGACAGGCAGGACATTTTATGATTATCATTAAAAATAAATTAGTTTTGAGTAAAGTTTAATTTGTGAAAATTTTAATCTAATTTATTGTGGCTTACGTTCTTCCTAATAGTATCTGAAAAATTCTGTTAAGATAGCCTTTTAAATAGTAAAAATATTATTATAACATATCAGAATTATTCTATCATGTTAACAGAATTACCTCTAGGCATCAGAGATATGGAAAATAATAATATGCAAATGCATTTTACCAACCCCATACCTTTTATCACTCATCCCGACCATCATCTTAATGCATTTATTTTGCTAAATAGGAGTATCTCAATTACAAATTCCATTTAAACACCCCGGGTTCAAAACTCAACTTTAAGACCCACTTATTTAAACCTCCACTTCTAAACCCGCACTCGAGAGACTTCACAGGCTCTGCGTTAATTTCGGCCATTAACTCGATTAGATCCTTTGAGTCTGCACTTCTAGCCAACAGACAGGTCACTCCTCGAGGTGGCAGGACGGAAAATAATAATTGCCAGAACAATGAACGGCGGAAACTTTGGCTAATAGAAAATGCAAACAACATATTAAACAATTAAACGGAAATTAGCACAAAGTATTCAGGCTGGATAGCAGGATGAAACCGAAGTGTGGCAGATCCGGCAAACGGATCCCGGCATCAAGACGGTTCATTAATAAACGGAATTGAAAGTGAACGGAAATGAATGCAGTGGCCAAATGAATGTATGAAAATATTCCAAGAGTGACTGCTAATGAAGCCCCGGCTTTTCAGGTAGTGGGGCAAGCAACTAAACGGAAACATCGGAGCAACCGGATATGGGGTGGGGGTGGGGGGTTGGCTAGTCCCCTCCCCCTTCTCACAAACACCGAGACAAAGGGGAGTTCGGCCAACTTAAATATGCAAGACAGCGCTCGGCTGGGCGCCAAATGTGCCACCCCCCACCAACCCAGGAGCCCCAGGAACCCTCGAGCCCCACAAACCCAACCCCAACCCCAAAACAGAAACCCCAAACCCCCGTAAACTTCAGCGCCAGCTGTGCCGACAACACCGCCAAGAACTGACTAACATTCACATTCACACTCCACACGCACTGAGCGAAAATGAATTATCTATGAATAACTATAAAATAGGGGTCGAAAAAAACGGGAGGTTCAATCACAGGCCAAAACGGCTTGACATAAAAATCGAAGAAAAAAACATAAATTCGAAAATAAAGCTAAGAAGGTTTTCAATCACCTCTTTAATTAAATTATAACCGTTAAAAGCTTAGAACTAACACTTTTATCTTTAATTCAACTATCGCCAGAATTTAATAAAACGTAAATCATATAATTATGCTATTTACAAAGAATGTACAAATTAATTGATTTATTCTATATACTCGTTTAATATTAAATAAAATATAAATCATTATGCAGTATCAATTGACTAAAACACTTAGACTTTTGTCGTCCGTTTGTTTTTTTCCAGTGCACCTCTTCAGAGCCCACGCTTTAGAGCAGCATAAACTTACAACACTTTTACCTCATCATCAAGGACTTGAACTTAAGGAAATTGATTTTATGCAACGTTTAGAAGAGCAGCAAGGAAATAGAATAGAATGTGGCAGAATAAAAGGGCTGGGACCCGAAGAAAACCCAAGGACCAGACGTTTTGTATGCTAAACCGCAAAGAAAAATGGTGCCAGCGGTGAGGATGGGAAAAGTGACATAAATAAAATCCGTGACTATAAATCTAAGGCATAAGCGGTTAAAGAGTCAGCCAAAAGACGCGGCACGTAGCCCTCTTATCCTCCATATCCTCGATGTCCTCTCCCTATCCTAACCTTTTCGGCATCCTCCATCAGGAGTCGCAGGGAAATGAATCCCGCAGAACGCAGATAAATATGTAAATAGATACAACGCGGATTATGCTTTGGACAACAATGCAATGGATATACTTTAAATATTGGATGGTAGAGAGAATTTGTGGATGGGGAATAAATTCCAGACTTTAACCGACTGAAACTTGTAAATTCAGTTAAAGAAAATGCAATTAAATTTATAAACTTAATTTGTTACTAAACCCTCTTTATAAAATGTAAGCAAATAAGCTCAAACTTATTAAAATTTATGTTAAATAGACCTGAAGCTAGTTTTCCAATCGCCCGTTTTTGACTTCCCATTTTCGGTGTGTCAATTGCCTGGAGCTGATCATAAAGTTTATTTCACTCCACTTGAAGAAGGGATTTTACAGACTACCCTTCCAGGACGACCATATCCTCCACCTGTAGCCCCCGTTTTTATGACCCACCCACCTGTTTACAATTCAACAATAAAAGCGAAAATCGATCGAGGCAAGCGAAGAAACTGTCATGCTAGGAAATATGTTGCATACCCAAAAGCCGTTTGGGTTTATTTTGAAATATATTTCAGTTTTCTGGAGAATAATTCGATTTATGTATTTAGGGTAAGCTAGGTGTTTACCGAAATCAGAATATTATAATAATAAGAATATTATGAGAATTATACGAAACCTTGAAAAAAAATTGTCTCGCTTTTTTTTTCTAAATATAACCCCTTAAATCTACAAGTAACGGGTATCAAAACAAAAACAATGTCCCCGAGAGGAAGGGTTAAGAGGATGGCCTGCACCGATGGGGATTTTCATAGGTAAAAAAGCCCCATTTTTATGGGCCCGCAAGGGTCACATTAAAACGCATGTTAAGCAACACGCAGAACAACTGGATAAAGGAAATGGAAAATGGGAAAAGGGTTGGGTGTTTGTTTGGTTGGATTGATTTGGTTTGGTTCGCTTGGCTTCAGTTTTCCTTTTCGGAAGGATTGGAGGGTTGGAAAATCCTTTTTCGCACGGCTTGACTTTGGTCGGCAATGCGGCTCGACTGGCATTTTAATAGACTGTTGACTGTTCTCACTGTTTACCGAGTGTCTGGGAGCGTAGGAGCTGCCAAAGATGAAGTACAAGAGGATAGTAGCTACGACTACCAAAATTGGCTTACTTTCAGTTATATTCCAATAGATTGTTTACTGAATTCGTAAAAACGCGAATTCTTTAGCATACCTTTAACTGAAATGGACTTCTAGGAATAGCATCTTATATAGCATCTAACTTGAGTTAAAATTGGCTTACCTTCACTTATTTTCTAACTTGTTGCTTGCTGAATGCCTAAAAACGCGAATTCTTTAGAACACCCTTAAATTAAATCGCCTTCGAGGGCAATGGTAAATTTAAAACGTAACAAAGGTAATATATTTTGCTCTCGCTATGCTTTTTAGAATTTCGCTTTCAGAGTATTAAAGCTAGGGAGTTTCCAATCCCGGTATAAATACTCGTACTTTACATAAAAATTTAAGAATTAGATTTTGTTGGTGTCTAATCCCTCACTTTGTCCTCGGTTTGAGGACAACTTTGCCATCGCCAGCAAAGCCATCTACATCCCCCGGCCGCTCGATAAGAATAACTTCGTGGGATGATGGTCCATCGCCGGCAGCAGGAGGATCCACCAGTTTGGACTTTTCCATGGAAATACTCCACCAGCCATTGCCTTGGTGGCGCAACTCCTTGGCCTTTTCGACCAGCTCCAGACAGGCGACCTTGGCCCCATCGGCCAGGTCTTCCGAGTAATTGGGTAGGTTGCGGATGAGTTGGAAGGTACCCTTGACACCTTGATTGTAGTATTCCCTGGCCAGTTCGCCTGCACTGAGGTCACTCGGCTCGAAACGCAGCACGCGGCCCAAAAGTCCGACCAACGGCTGGAGACCCGTGGTGATCTGCTGCAGCAGCCTGTCCGTCTCCTCCGTCTTGCCCCAAACACCCATGCGGTTCGTCATGTAGACCGTCATCGTGACCGCCGCCGTTCGCGCCATCAAAGTGGTGATCATTGTCGTCATAATTCGGGATCACAACTATTTGGAATACTTAGGATTACTCGAAGGAATCTATGGGTTTCAAGCGAAAACACGGGGAAGTTACGAACGCAATAATAAAACACTTGCTTTACTCTTACTCACACCAAACACGTTCTGGCTCAAATACTTTTAGCCTTTTAGTATTGGCCTAAAATTCTAGACCTACTTTGATGAAATCAAAAAACTATAATTTAAAGCAAACAAATTGAAATAAATATCTTAAGTTTTTTAATTTGAACAAATTGACCTAATAGATGATTCGAAATAAAAATCAAGTTCGCAAAACTTATTCTTCTCAATCGTATCGAGGGATGCTTCCAGTTTGCCCCGTTTTCAAACCCATCACAAACAAAGTTCTTAGGTAAGTTCTTTCAAGTTTGTTCCTTGGCATCCCTTCATCAACGCCGTGATATCCTCTTTTTTGGGGCGGCTATAAAAAACGAACACACACTATCTTTGAATGGCGAAGCGAGGAAGCCCGAAACAAGTGAGTAAAAATCTAATCCATTACTCAAACCAGCAAACTGAAAAAGTAATGGTATTGCCCACAAGCAGAAGGAGGCGTCGAAACCGGATGAGGAGATGGCGTTGAGGTTTGGATGGTGTAAATCTTTTGTAACGTTTGGGTGTCCCCTTTTTTTATGGGCTTCTTATACCCTTTGATTTGGAAGGTAAAAGGTTATCTTGATTTTTTGGTCAATGAAATTAAATATTTGTATTTTAAGTACAGTTCTAGGATCGAAGCAAATTTTGTGTTGCATTCTTTTTGAATACCACATTTCCTGTCATTTTTCAACCGAGTGTAAAGGTGAATGATTTAGGAATCTATAATAAATTCAAGAATGTAAATATGATATTCCATTTATTGATGCATTTCAAGAACAAGATACTAGGTAACAGTTAGTCGACTACAATTCTCCTCACTTATTTTTGGGCAAGGACAACATTCCGTGTGTGGAGCTACGTGAATGGAAATAAAACTGCAATTCGGTTCAGCACTTGGACCAGTTGAATGTCACTCGGGCGAGTCAAAGGCGAGACGAATCTTTGGGTCCTGTTTGAAGGAACTTTGACATCCGCCACAGGACACTGTTTTTTTTTCAGTTTTTTTTTTTTAATTTGCACAACTTTTGACCCAAATTCATTTGTCACAGAATGGAGGCGGCCAAGCAGCAAAGGACCAAATTCTTGGCCCCAGGCAACGTGAGTCTGGCAACTTTCTATAAATAAATAATAGAGTGGCCGCAAAAGGTGGTCGAGGGTCCTTGGTCCTGGGCCAGCCAGGATGTGTCCATTCATTGGCAGAGCCATAAAGCCGGCAATAGATGGGTCCTGCGTGGCCGAGGTGCAAGGCGTGGAATTGCGGCAGCATGGGTTAATGCCTCTAAAAACATCAGTTTGTTTGGGCTTTTATTGGTCTGCAGATAACATAGTGAAATCTGTTTTACACATGCTAGATAAGGAATGTGTACCAAGGTTTCTTAAAGAAATGTGAGCAATGTATATCAATTGGTTTGCATTTCCTAAAAAATATGAATTTATTATAACCCAAAATTAACTTTATTTATTAGAGAGCTCAGCTTTAGGGAAAAAAATTAAAACACACCGGAATTAAATCGATATGCCCATGGTAAATTTCTAGTATTTATGCGCACTTTTTTTACCATGCAACACAGATTTTGCTCTCTTGTAGATTCTCTGAATTCGAAAAAGAGAGCAATATGGTGACTTAAATTACGTTTCATATCAATTTTTTTTTTGGGTCTAAAAACTTAATTTACCTTAATTTTTTATTCCGATAGGAACTCAAAGAATTCGAATTGGCATTGGGATTTGCATTACATTTTCGGATGATACAAAGTTGTTAAGAATGTTAAAAACGGAATCGTGACCCCTTTGTGATCCTAATGAGCTTCTCCCCTACTTTTCCCTTTGGCCGCCCACAACTATTTGCTGACCAAGAATTTTTCGTTCCAGCTTAATAGCCGGAAATTAAATCAAGATTTGCGGGCTTAACTTTTGGGGATGCCAACAAAAATATAAGGGATACGGAGACACCGGACTTTCATTTGCATATTTTGTACCGCAGTTGCACACGGGGTCCTAACTCTCATTTAAAATTTCGCATTCATTCATTCCCCGCGGTCTGGTTTTTACCCAAAAAACCCATTCGACTGACACTTTGACCATGAAAATGAAAATATGTTAGAGTTTTTTGCGACCGGGCTAAGAAAAATGTGGTAGTCATGTGAGCAGAGTTTATGTGTGTGGATCTGTGAAAAGCGCAAGTGTAATTAGTGTGAGGCTTAACGGGGCTAAGCCAACAAGCGGATTGTGGGCTGGGTTTTGGAGCAGACTGCAAAAAAAAGAAGGCGAAAAATACCAGTTCGGGTCTGGAATGCGGCCTCCTCTTCTCATTCCCAAATCTCTAGGGATTTAGAAGTCGCTTGGCTCGGAGGTTTTCCGAAAAGTATGTGTATTTTCATTTTAAACATTAGGTTGGGTTGCTAAAACGATCAATATCAGTATGAATTCTATCGATATTGTAGCTCAAAAAAATAATTAAATATTTCCAAATGATTTCTGGTAGTTTTTGGATATAAAAAGTATTATTACACCCAGAAAACAAAATGGACTAAAAAGGGGCCTAATTACCTAAAATTTTAGGAAACATGGCCAGAAAAACGCGCCAAGGCCATGCATTACCTAAAATGTTGTCCATGTGGACTATATTTTTTACGCAGTCTTGAATTTATTTCTGGTAATCGTTACCTAAAAAAATGGCTAGTGGACTAGATTTTTAGGTCAAAATTACGTAAATATTAGCTATTTTCAAAAAAGTTAACATTTTTACTATTGATAGTAACATATTTGTTTATTTTAATTGCTTATATTGTTTTATTCGGATAAGTAAATATTTTATCTTTCTGAAAAAACAATCATTTTATTTTGTCCTCGGTGGGAATCGATCCCCGGTCTTCTGCGCGAGCGTCCAATAGGCTAGCCTCTGGTCTACGGAACTACTTAAAGGCCCTGTGGCAAAACCGAAGCCTGCTTCTAGGTGCACAGGCGAATTCTATTTTTAGAATAGGGCACTATTACCTTAAAAGTAGGAAAATAGTCCACGTTGGTATTGATTTTATATATTGAAACTTTTCCATCACTAGCTTTAAGAGAAGTCTAATAAAATTTGTTAATAATAAACTTAAAAAACCGAATAATTTGTTTATTAATATTAAGGGCCAATATTTGTATTAAATTGTGAGTAATAATCGACTTCAAATTATTCCTAAATTTTAGGTCTTATGGACCAATTTTATGGTTACGATGGCCTATAAAAATCTCTTTGGCTTTACCTAAAAAGTAGGAACATAGTAAACATGCTAATATTTTTAGGTAACCCATTACCTAAATCTGAAATTTTAGTCTATTTAAATTTTTTAGGTCATACGTTACCTAAAAAATAGTCTCACATTTCTCTGGGTGTAAGTATATTTATAAGAACACAATGATACCTTAATCGTTAGGGGTCAACTTTAAACTTCGTTTTACTTTAATGTTGTTTAATTTTAAATGGTCCCACTATCGATTGTTTTTTTCTACATTTGAGGACATAGTATTTTCTAGAACTGCTAATAGCCTGCAATTTAATAGGCCCACGTAGAATTTTCGACTTTTTGCAAAGGTTGGGTATATCATGGATGTGGTTTATTTTTCTTGGCTTGTTTTTCTTTTTTTTTCATACTCTGCGACCTGGCTTTACAACTATTACGAAATTGCATTTTGAATAGTCGTGGCATTTGGATATTCTGGTGCCTTGCTTTTTGCCCCCGCAGACAAGAGTCCCATGAATGCAACTGAAACTAAAACTGAAACCGAAACTGAAACAGAAACTGGAACTGAAACTGTCTCTCTGGGCTGATAAATCGCCGGTGCATTATTTACGGTCTGCTCTGCCTTTTCAGCTATGCATGGGTAGCTTTTTATGGGCGACACCTATAACGTATACGTGATATTCGGTATGCGGTATGCGGCATGCGGCATGGTATGGGAACTTTGTTTATTCTTTAATTTAGTGGGCAAGCCAACGGCAACCGCACATAACAAACGGCAATCAGAGAAGCCAACTGCAAATGGCCTTGCCAAGTGCCAAGAGTGTCGGGAATTATGATCCGCATAAAAATGTTTAGTGCATGGCAGCGACAAATCGAATGAAGGGAAGGGGCTGCTTTTTATAGCCTGCCAGTCGAGATGAAGTTGAAATGTTAAAAAAGAAGGTCAAATTGTATCCACGGAAGATAGAAAATATTTGTGAGCAGTGCTTTATATTTGTCTTAACAATTATCTCATTGATTTATCAATAGAAAGCTGATACAATTGGTTAAATAAATAATGCCAAAATTGTCTAGAAAGTATTCATGGAATATTGTGGAAAGAAATAAATAAATTCGGCAAGATAGTAATACACAGAAAAAAATCGACAACATATTAGATTGATATGTGCAGGTCAGTTTAATATTTTTTAAATACATTTGGTATTTTAAAATACAATATCAAGTTAATATGTTGGAATCATAAATCATTTCGACTTTTTATTGATATGAAATAAGGTAGAATTGATTGTTTTCTGTGTACTTTTTATTTGATTTATTGTATAATAATATTTAGGTGGCAAATAAACCACATATGTATTTGGATAATAAATATAAAACACTGAATGAATTGCGTTGCAATAATAAATATCCCATCAGTCCGCTTTGGCTTGTCGTAATTGGTTTTCAACGAACGATTTATTTTAGATTGGCAGCGTGCTTGAGCATTAATTGAATGAATTATTAGCGGCCAATATATAAAGTGGACTTTATCAATATTGCCTGGCGGTGGAAGGTGAAAGATGGAAGTGCGGCAACAATGCATTGAAATATTGGCCCAATGCGCATCAGTCAGTAAATAAGATAAATAAAGATCCGAGGAGCTTGACAGTCATAAAAAACACATCCATCAGGCGTGTTTAAACGATTGCCATTAACGATGATGATGATGTTGTTGGCAAATCGAGGGGGTGGATCTACGGGGGGGAGAAGGGGTTTTGACTATATCTTCTTTATGGTTCTGTCATGGTCTCTCTATCTCTCTTGCCCGCGATTT